AGAAAATCACCACACACACACACACACACACACACACACACACACACACACAATTAATAAAATGCTATTCAGTCATTAAAAAGAATAAAATTCTGTTATTCAAGGCAATGTGGATGGCCCTGGAGGACATTATGATAAGGTAAATAAGCAGACATAAAAAAGAGAAAAATCATATGTCCTCACTCAGATGTGGAAACTAAAAAAGCTATCCTCACAGAAAGAGAATAGAATACTGGCTAACAGAGACTGGGAAGGATCCGAGGTAGGGAAGAACAGGAAAATGTCATTTAACAGACAAAATTACAGTTAGGTAAGAGAAATAAGTTCTTGTGTTCTATAGCACAGAAAGGTGACTATAGTTAACAATAATTTACTATATGTATTTCAATATAACCAAAGAAATTATTTTGAAGGTCCCCAATACAGGGTAATGATAAGTGCTTAAGATGCTGAACATGCTAATTATGTCAGTTTGATCAAACACATTGTATTCATATACTGAAAAAAAATCACACTGTGCTCCATTAATACATTTATTGGGCCAGCAGGTGATGCAGTAGGTAAGGCACTCCCACATGACCAACCATGGTTCAAGTCCTGAACTCAGGGGCTTGAAATCCATGCCAGATGCATGTGGGTGCATGCCCAAAATCCTAACTGTTTCGAGAATGGAGGAGAAGGGATTGTGGCATGGCCATCCCCCTAGGAAATGATTTCTCGCTTTCTATTTCTCTGTCTTTCTCTGTCTCTCCAATGAGTGCACATGCTCTATAGCAACAAATCTCAAAAAAAGAAAGAAAGAAAGAAAGAAAGAAAGAAAGAAAGAAAATGTATACATATTATACATTAGTTTAAAATAATTTAAGAAATTTAAAAATTTAAGAAAACTTTTTCCATGACTTCAGTTTCCCTAAAGCTTTTATGCAAACTGCCAAACTTATCTTAATTGAACAATGCAAAGCACCTAGAATAATTCCCCTAGAGTCCTGAATAAGTCTATTTTTCATTTCTAACTAGACTTTTATAATTGCAATTGAATCTTCAGGGTTAAAATTCTTTAATTGCAATAATAGTAATTAACTTCTCTCACCCCATAGTCCTGGAAGCCATTCTCCATTAAATCACTAAGAGCAAACAAGAGCTTCGATATCAGTTTATTTATTGTTTTTTAATAGAGGAAATGAAACATCATATCTTAGAGATAAAAATCAAGGTAGAAGGAACCAGCAATTGGCATAATGGCTATGTCACTGGATTCCCATGTAGTCAACCACAATTCGAGTCCCGGACCCGGTGGCTTAAACTCACGCCAGGTGTGTTTGCGTGCATACGTTCCCAAGATCCCAAGAAGAGAATGGAGGAGAAGGGATTGTGGCATGGCCATCCCCTCTGAGGGGTGATTTCTCGCTTTCTGTCTCTCTGTCTCTCTCTGTCTTTTTGGTGAGCACACGTGCCCTATAGCAAAAACCTCTCCAAAAAAAAATAAATAAATAAATCAAGGTAAAAGTTTAATGCACCATTGATCTTAAAGGGATTTGGAGTTTTCAGAATAAATACATGAAAATAACCGGTAAGCAAATTCCAAGTCAATATAATGAATTTTATGACAGAATTTTACAAAGATATTATAGCCTCCACAGTAAGTTTCTCAGGCTTGAAAAGTATTTGAAAAAGATACTGATATTTTTACCTTGATAGAACTACATGATCCTAAATATCCTCCCCCAATTTTAAGATTTGTCTTCAGTTACTCCACTAAGTTACCCAATTAGTCAAAGTAGGAAGAACAACACTTCCAAACGTGGAATATAGAAGTAAGATGAACATTTCTACATTGGGTAGCTGAAATTGGACAGCGGGGTCCTGACTCAGCTTTATCTGCCTCACCCTGCCTTCCCTTTCTGCAAAAGGGGAGCTGGGAGTGCCTGTGGCGCCTGTCTCTAAACAACCGCGTCTTTGAAGTACGCCAAAGCTGCAATTGAGTCTGGAGCTCTGCTGCACACTAGCCATGTCTTTAGGTAAGTGATTTAACCTCTGCAAATTTCAGGTTTTTTATCATTTGTAAAGCGTACATCATAAGAAGCTACAAACTAAAACCTAAACATGTAGGACATACCCATGCCTATTTCCCACTTCAAAAGGTCGTTGAACTCAAACACAGAGTCCTGAAATAGACTAAAATAACTGCTAGCAAAATTGCAAGTAGAATATGGGTAATTCAAAACTGATTTTAGGGATAGACATAGGAAGACACCTATCAGAAAATGTTAGCTCAAAGAATTGGTATAGAAATACCAAAACTTTGGGACCAGCAGGTGGCGTGGTGGTTAAGGTGCTGGACACTCCCACATGGCCGACCTGGGTTCAAGTCCTGGACCTGGTGGCTTGCTTTCTCACTTACTCTCTCTCTCACTCTCACCCTCTGTCTCTCTGGTCAAATTTTAAAAAGTCAATGAATGAATAAATTAATTAAATAAATAATTTTAAAAAAAGAAACACCAAAACTTCAAATCTAAAAATTAGCAAAAAAAAAAAAAAAATTGCAACTAAGAAATAAAAGATATATATTCTTTTCTAATCCCATTTAAGTTTCTTTTTAAACAAACAAACAACAACAACAAAGTGCCTAGCACATAATAACCAAGAACTCAATGTTCATGGGGACTTCAAACCCTTTAGGAGAAGGGAATTAAAATGTGAGTTTATTTCAAGTCAAAAAATGTGAAATGCATGATTTGTTCATAGTATACATTTTCCATGAACTTTTTGAAGACCTTTCTCCCCCGTGTTAGCTGAGAGCACGGCTATTATTTGAAGTCTCAGATAGAAACCGAGGGCTGGTGTGCAGATGAGAACAGTGACTTGTCTATACAGGTTTCAGTGGAGGATGCCAGAAAAAGTTTTACTTCAAGTTAATGAATTTTCTGTGGATCAGAGATGACCAAAAATGAAGGAAGAGACATAAATAAGCATTGCTTCCCGCATCTGAGAGATTTCAAGAGTAAATAGCCTGACTTTTAGTTAAGAAAAATGTTGTAGACTTGGAAAGATGACCCTTAGACTTTGTCAATACTATGAAATTTTTCGAGAAATCTAAGTATGATCAAGAAAATAATTCATTACATGTGATGAGAACTGTAGAGTCAAATTTGTACTTTCGGCAGTATGTAAGAATATCTCATGTTTTATTGCATGGTAGAGGTGTATGCATGTATGAAAAGCAATGTGTCTGAGAAAGCCAGATAGTCTGAGGAGCTTCGTACTATCAAAAATCATCGTGGACAGAAGTCTAACAGGTGTAGCCATGATCTGTCTTATCAACCTCCCCGGCATGTTGATAGTTCCCCAGTTTTAGTATTCACAGTGATGAAGTTGACAATATTTTTCTGCATAACGAAGGGCCAGAGTGACTCCATTTTGTTAAACCCACCTTGCTGAGAATCGGCGCCATTTCAAGGGGGCGAGCTGGTCACATAGGAAAAAGTCATGAGACCATCACCCCACCGGGACTGACCGTGAGAGAAACAAAGGAGATGCCAGAGACAGCTACACTCCCTGTAATCTACAGCCAATGTGTAGCCACCTGAGCCCATTCCTCAGCACCCCTCGACCTCCCCCCTAACAGCCAAAGATATTTTGATCAACTGGACTGGGGAGAAATGTTCATATATTGAATGTTCACTTTGTAAGCTAAACAATGTGATTGAATGTGTATATATACATATATATATATGAAAGAAATTTAAAAAAAAAAAAGAAAAACAAAACCTAGCCCAACTAACACCAGGGCTCTCAACTCTGACCTGCTGTGCCGGTGAGATTGGGAGTCCTGGTGAGACTGGGAGTCCTGGCTCAAGCCTGAATAAAAGCCACCACACTCAAATGCCTCCAGAGGTCTTGCACATACGGGACCTTAAAGGTGCCTCCTTCACTCCCATCCACCTTGCTCCCAATACTGATTTTTGTTGGTTGTGCACGTGAAACATTGATTGAACATATGCTTTGTGCCAGTATTAATTGTTTGCTGGTAACTACCTTCTCTCATGTCACCTCTCACAGGGAAGCAGAAGTTGGTGGGGGTGTCTTCATTTACAAGTGAGAAAATTAAAGTCACTTTAGAAGTCACAGAAAGAATTCAACTCTAACTTTCCAGCTACGAAATTCTCATCCGCTTCTCAGGAGGCCAGACTGCTCAGCTGAAACCTTGGAGTGAGAAATTTATTCACCTTTTCAGACTTAGCCATCATTTCAAATGTTTAAGGTAATAGGCGTTCAGGGTAATTTGTATTTATATGAATTAACTCCTGAAAATGTTGGAAAACGGAAACCTCATGTATTATGATTCCATGAGGAGACTGAGACTCAACTTTAAAGAGATGAGTAAGAGGGAAAATACTGAATTCTTTTCAGATGTACTCAGCTTACGCTCAGCTACCAAGGCCACGTCCAGTCTAATCATCGGCGAACAAGTTCGTTTGGTTACAAAGAGTAGGGACAGGAATAGGAACTCCGGAAGTAACTTGGGGAGAAAAAAAGAAGTCATATAAAATTACGTTGCATATATCTTTAATCAATTGTCCTTATAAATAATGTCTTATGGTACTTGTTACATAGACCAAAAAACAAAGCTATGGAATTGAAGATAGAATACATAAGTTATTTCTTTGCTTTTAAATCATCACGAGCTGTGGATTAGAGATGGTTAAAACAAAACATAAAACAAGCCCTGTTCAGGAAACTTTGTTTCATCAGAAGATGAAAATGTAATCTTGCTTGAGGATATAGGGCAATGCTATGGCAACAGGACAAAAAGAAAGCAATGACGTCCTTTCTCAAGAAAAAAACAGCACATGAATCATTTTCACAGAATCACTGGACTCCCACATGGCCGACCTCGGTTCCCTTGTGGCTTGAAACTCACGCCGGGCATGTGTGCGTGCATGCCCAAGGTCCTGGGAGAAGAATGGCGGAGAAGGGATTGCAGTGTGGCCCCAATCTCACTTTCCTTCTATCTCTGTTTCTCTCTCTCTGCCAAGCACATACTCCCTAAGGCAAAAACCTAAAACAAACAAACACTTCATTTGAAGAAAGGAAGCAGACATGGGGAATTTTATCCAGTCAAGTTTATGGAGTCTCCTGTGTGCTCAGCACTTCCAAGGCAGTATGAGAAAAATTACGAACAAGATAGCAACAAGGGAAACATACACTGCACTGCCACTTCGCTGTCATTTCCATGTTGCTTTTTAAAGTGCTCTTAGGTCGCTCGGGGTGTGTGGGGTCCCTCTCTCTGTGCATCCCGAAAGCACCTGGCACTGTGGAGTGACGTGCCTGGTGTGACCATCCTCTGGGAAACGAGGGTGGGGCGGGAGGAGGGCTTCTTGCAGCCGGGCAGCTGGGCCGCAGTGCCCACGGTGGGTGAGGCATGCTGAGAGGGAGCCATCAATCCCGAGGGCTCAGGTCACTCACGGTGAATCACAGGAAGGCCAGACTTGGGGAAGCCAAGAGGGCACTGGACCCTCACTCCCCCTTCCCCAGGGGATGTGCTTAAAGTGCTAACACTGTAAGGAAATAATGCATAGCTTCATGCTGTCGTGGTGCCACCAGACTCACCACCTCCCACTTCTCCAAGTTGTGCTAACAGTAGGTGCTAGCCCTACTGGAGTTGCCCGGTGAAGTGCAGGTGGGGGAAACCTTTGACACCCAGGAGGAGGCTGGGGCGAGAGGCAGAGCAGGGCAGAGGTCCACAGCAGAAGGGCCTGGCTCATGCTTGGCCACAGCCCAGGGCCAGGTGGGTTCCTGTGCAGAGGGCAGCTCTATATAGCTAGCAGGGTCAGAGCTATTCCCTGAGGGAGCAAAGCTGCATGGCGTAGGAAGGAGGTCTGAGTTGGGCAGGGCCCTCCCTGTGCAAAAGGTTGAGGGGCGCACTGTAGGCCATGCCACATTGGTTCTGGGAGACATCAGAGCACACCTGGCCAAAGGGCCCATGGGCCTGGGCCCCCACCTGAGTTAGCACAGGCACTCGGGTCCAGCTGGCAGCCCCACCAAGGGTCCTGTGCCCCTGCAGGCCAGAACCAGGTCCAGGGAGATGCATCCTGTGCACGACGCAGGGCACCCACCAGGAAGCAGCAGAAGTGGCAGTGGCACTGTCTCTTCCTGATGGTGACACAGCAGGCAGAGGACGTGCGGTAGCAGGAGGGCTTCCTTAGAGGTGCGGGAGGGTGCCCAGAGGCTCCCAGGAGCCAACAGGACACCCCGTCTCGCCATGGGCTCAGAGCCAGATCTCATCGCTGCTCACACTGGACACTCGGTAGATGTAGCCCAGCATGGGCAGGCGGATGAAACCTGCAGGGTCAGAGATGGCCGGGGACTCAGGGACCCCTGTGCCTTGCAAGTTGCCCCCACTGGGTACCTGGAGGCCTTTGACCCCAGCACAAGGGCTGGGAGCAGAGAGGGGGCAGTGGCCCCATCCCAGTACCTCGGCTGGTGAGCAGGCCACCGGGCTCTGGTTCCAGGAGCTCTGGGCGGCTGCTGTCCCGAGCCACCGGCCGCTCTGTTGGCTTCCCTGCTGGATGACAAGGGGGCAGTGCCCAGGACTGGAGCAGGCCTGCTGGCCCGACCCCTCCTAAGTGCCAGGGTCTCTTTCTCTTGGAGGCACTTCTGAAGATACAGCAGGGCACACGACAGTGCCCGGGTATACCTCTGGCGTCAGGAGTGAGATCGTTGAGCTGAAGGTTGGACGGGAGGGACATGTTCTCCCGCGGCAGGCGCACGTTGTTGAGTTTCAGGTTGTTGGAGTCACTGTGGGGTGGACAGGCTGGGGTAGACCCTGGTTCCAGCAGGCATGAGGCCTTGGGGCTGGCTCTAGATCTTCTGGAACCCTGGAACCCCAAGGTCACCCCCCCACACACCCCCATTGCAGTTCAGCCCATTCACCCAGCCCGGAAGTTACCTAGAAACCAGAGAGGGACGCCGAGAGGGGCCTGAGGACAAAGAAAGCATGCCACTGATTCTGTGTGCCAACCCACCTGGGCTCGGTCCTGCCCTCCCACCAGGGCCCCTCAGTTCCCAGTGCCTGGCCCCACTGCTGGCCATTCCTGGCAGTGCTCTGACACTTGCCAGAAGCCGCCTGCTCTGGCCAGCTCCACCTCCTGTCCTCGCTCCTCACCCTCGGCCACCCTCTGCCCCTGACAGCCCCTGGCCCTACCTTTGGTCTTCTTCTCTTTCCTGCAGACCAGGCAGGCCACCAGGGTACTGAACCCCACCAAGGTGCCCAGGGCAAGCCCTCCAGCCACAACGATGCCCAGCAGTGGCACTTCCACCCGGGTGGCCAGGAGCCCTGCAGGTTGTCCCCTGATTAGGTTCCAAGTGGGCAGTGCCCCAGCCCCGAGATGCCACGGGTACTACTCTGACCTTGCCCAAGGTGGCTGGGAACAGCTCGTCCACCAGTGCCACTCAGAGGATAAGTCCTCCCGCGTCTGAACTGTGACCCCACCCCCACCTGAGGCTCTGCTGGGTCAGTTGCTGGCAGTGCTCACCTGGGACCGGAAGTGAGGCACTGGTGACACCCACGTCATTGGTGGCCACCACCGAGAGGTTGTGTGCCAGGCTGCGGAGCTGCAGCTGCACGGTGTGGTTGGTGAGCCAGGGGTAGTTCTGGGCATCCAGCACCAGGAAGTCGGAGGTGTTGACAGTCACTGGCCCATCCTGGTCGATCCAGGTGACGTTGGCAGGTGGGTTGGCACGCACCAGGGCAAACAGGACAACCAGGAGGCCTGGGCCCTGAGCTTCCTGGTACTTGGCCCCGACCTGGGCAATCTCTGGCTTAACTAATGCAAAGCAAAAGCCAATATGCTCACCACGCCCTGAACACTTCTCACCCTTCTCCCCACACCCAGCTGGGAGCCAGGGGCCTGGACCACGGTTGGAGGGGGCAGAGAGACAGGAGGGCACCTCTGCTAGGGGCAGCTTTCCACAGGGACCGAGAGCATACACTGGAGCCAATGTCTGGACCTGAGGCTGGCTGGGCTAATCACCAGCTGCATGGTCTCGGGCGGATTGCTTAATCTCTGTGTGCCTCGGTTTCCTCATTTGTAAAGTGGGATAACAAGGTCGGCAGGTGGTGTGGTGGTTAAAGCAGCTGGACTCCCACATGGCTGACTGCGGTTCAAGTCCTGGACCGGGCAGCTTACTTTCTCACTTTCTCTTTCTCTCTCTCTCTCTCTCTGATCAACTTCAAAAAAAATAAAATAAAATAATGACAATAAATAAAATCAAATAAAATAATTCTTTAAAAAGGGGGGGAGGAAAACAATTATAATTACCTCATAGGATTATTGGAAGGATAAAATGAGCTAACATTGGCAAAGTGCTTAAGTGTCAAATGTCCTGCTGGCCTCCTCCCAGGTGGCTGGGAAGGAAGGGTCCCTGGGCAAAGAGCCTCTCTCCTGGCCCCCCTTGGGGCACTCACATTGCACATTGAGGATGACCGAGGCGTTGGCTGACCGGCCACTACCGGGGTCCTGGAGGGAGCAGTTGAGCTCATGCTGGGCCCGCTGGGCAGTGACAGTAAACGTGCTGGTACCTCCAGAGAAAGCCTCCCCGCCCACACTCAGCAGTCTCGAGGTGCTGGCCTCCTGCAGCTGTCCATCCAGGTACCAGGCCAACCTGGGGGTGCCAGGCCCCCCTGCCACTCGGCAGGTGAAGGCGTGGCGCTCATTCTCACGGAGTGCTCGCTCAGCCCAGGTGTGACCATCGATTTGTGGAGCCAACTCCCCCCAACCTGGAACACAACAGGGGACTCTGGGAAGGGCATGAAAGGGATCGTAGCAGGGTGGGGTCCGGGAACAGAGGGGCAGCAAGGCCAGGAGACAGGGCACTGGGTTCTCTCACCAAGAACAAGCTGGACTGCGGGTAGGTGGGAGAGGGGGACCCCACTCTGGAGCTTGGGGTCTCAAGTGGGTACCCAGACAGCGGTGCAGGCAAGGGGAGGAGAGAAGAGGCTCTGGACCACCGAAGCTGTCAGCAACGAATGAACGGGCTGTGTACCTGGGCTCAGGAGGGCTGGCAGGAGCAGCAGTGCGTGCGGGAGGGCAGCTGAGCCCGGAGGCAGCGCCATGGTGGCTGGGGCCTGGGCCCCCTTCTCAGCCCCAGGCTGCTGAGAGAAGGGGGCGGGCCTGGCTGTCAGCCCGAGGAGCGCGGGCAGGCCTAGCAATTCCTCCAGGAACTGACTCTCCAGAAACAAGAAGAACCATGCACGAAACACAAAGGTAGGCTGACCCAGGGAGGTGAAGGCGCAGACCCACCCAGCGGGTACCTGGACACCGTCCGGGCGCAGAACTGCGCGTTGACTCCAGGGAACTGACGGGCACGCACCCAGATGGAGCACCGTGCCCACACACACGGTCTGCACCTGCCCTCCCCCAAGGGATCGCCCTTCTCCCGACCCTGCTTCCCTCCTGTCCCCCTTTCGCTGCTACTTCTCGTCCTACACCCTTTTCCCAGTCCTGGCTGCTCGAGTGGATTCGGGCTGAAGAGGAGGGAGTCTGGGAGGCGAGATCGCCGAAGCATCCCGCCTCGCGTTCCCCCACCTCGGGTGGCTCACCTGTCTCCCTCCCTGAGAGCAGCCGGCCGACTGCTCAGGTCTGACAGGCTCCGCAGTCCGCTGCAGGGACGGGGGCTGAGCCAGGCAGGGCCAATCAATGCCAGACCGCGGGCTCGACGCGCTCCGCTCCCCGCCACGCGAGGGCCAGGTGGGCGGCCTCCCTTTAGCAACCCGGGAGCTGTCAGCGCGCGTCCGGACGCCGAGTGCCCTTCTCCCAGTGTGCGCGCGCGGGCGGGACGCAGAAGCAGGCGGACTGGTGCACCGAGCAGCTTTATTGGTCCAGGCCCCCTCCCACCCTGCGGGCCCGGGAGCTGCCCAGCCGCGCCGCCTGCTCGAAGTCCCTGCGGGCGTCGTCGTCCCGGCCCTGCAGCCGCGCCAGGAGCCCGCGCTGCACGAAGCCCTGGCGGGCGGCGCGGCCCCGCCCGCCGCTCAGCGCCAGAGCGCGCTCCAGGTCATCCAGGGCACCTAAGGGACGGACGGGGAATCAGCGGCGCGCCCCGGACGCCAGGGCCCAGATCCCGCCCACCTGCCTCGACTTGGCTGTTAACCAAGCGTGGGCACCTCGCGGGCATTGGATCCCACAAGCAGGGACTGTGCCTATTAATGTGGGAAGGCTTGCCGATCAGTGGCAGAGCTACGACTGAAGTCTAGGGTCCGCCTTGTGCTCATGGTTTTCCACCACGAATACAACAAAACGTGAAGGTTGCGGGGAGGAATTTGAATGGTCACTATGTTAATAAACTGCCTGGCTCCGATTCCCAGCGTTTCAAGAAAGCATGATTAACTGCAGAAACGTTTCTTACAAGCACAATAAAGTCAGGGTTTCTTTCTTTTCGTATTGAGAGTTTTTCTTCCCTCTTCCTCTACCCCATTGCCTGGACTCATTGCCATTTTTCATACTTTAGAGGTCTCTGGTCATCATTATTTGTATCTAACCTCAGAGGGAGGTTCTGGAGTCAGAACCCGCCTGGACCATATTATCCTCATCAACTAGAGGACTGGCCTCAGAAGCTCTGAGCCACAGATAGTCAGGTGGCATCTTCTGTAGAGTCTGCCCAGCTGTTTGCTTCTGGGCTCTGCGTCAGTCCACTCTGGCCTCCAGGCTCCTGCAGGGCCCGAAGGCAGGTAGGGAGCTCCAGCATGTGGTGGAACCAGGCCATCTTCCCTGTGCTGGGTCTTTACATTTTGGTGTCCAGCACCGAGGGTGCTCCCCACCCTACCCAGACCACTGAGCAGCTCTGACACTGCAGCATTGTTTAGCTGCCCTCAGGAGCTGGGCTGGAGAAATGGAAAGTCTGGCCAGGTTAAATTACCCCCACATCTCTCTGGGGTTCCCACCTGCAAACTGTCCCCATGGCCCCCAGGGGCAGACAAGGCTGGACAGAACGGAGTCCAAAGTCCCCCACCTGGCCCAAGGAGCTCCTCTGCTGGTCCTAAGGTGATTTCGGCAGTGTATACTTTTGCATTGGCCTGGCCCCTGGTGCCCCGTCCAGCCAGAGTGACCTGAATGCAGCAAGTCTGATGCAGCTGACTGACCCCCATGTTTTCAGGACTGTCCAGTTTTGGCCTAACTCTCCCAGCTGTTCCCATCAGCCCTGCCTGTCTCCAGGCCCAGCTCTCCCCACTGCCCCCTCTGCTGGCTGCAGCCAGCCGGGACCACTGAAGTTCCCTGCACCTGTGCACACCTTCCCACCCTTTATTTATTTCTAGTTTGCAAAAGGGTGCATGCACTTGCTGGGGTGGGGGAGTGAGAAATCACCTCCAGGGTGACCTTCCTCCGGGACTGAGCCCATGGAGGAGCAGTATCATGTGAGGATAAGAGCACACCCCCTGCAGCCCTAGCACCGTTTGAATCCCAGCTCCGCCACACCCCGGCTGCAGGATAGTGGGCAAGTTCCATCCCCTCTCCATGCTCTGAAACAGGGATAACAGCACATGCCTTTTAGGGCTGTTCTGAGGATGGAGGGAACAACTGCTTCCTGCCGTCGCCAAGAGGGGTGCTGCTGCCTAAGTGTTAGTTGTAAGTAGTGTGTCTCCACGACATATTCTGAATGAGTGAATGAGATGCAGACCCTCTGTCTTTCACACAGCACAGGGATGAGCAGCGCTCATGTTATTTCTCACTTTCTAGGTAAGTGGATAGGCTCCAGAGGGGTTGAGTGATCTCCCACCCCCCACGCCCCAGCCCCACGCCACCTCTGGTCTGTGTCCTGGGGGCCCCTTAGGTAGGGGCTTCAGGACAACTCCCTTCACCTGCCACATCTCCTTGGAGCCGCCGAGCCTGGGCTCGGTTGTTGTAGGCCGAGGCCCTCTCAGGCAGCAGGCAGATGGCTTGGCCGAATCTCTCCAGGGCGGTGTTGAGGTCCCCAGCCTCTGCTGCCACCACTCCCTGCAGCTCCAGGGCCTTGGATTGCTCCAACTGTGCTTGAGGGAAAACTCCGTCTACACCAGGGAGTGAGCAGGAGGGAACAGGCACGCCGTCAGGAGCATCAGGAGCCGGGCGCCAAGAAAAGCCACCTCAGGCTTCTGGTCCTGAATCCTGACCCAGAGCTGACTGGGTTGGTGAGGTTCACAGCAGGGGACAGGGGTGTTGGGGAAAAGGGGACCCGAGGTCACCAAGGCTGAGAGCTAGCACTGCCTAAATTGCAGAGGGCCCTGGGATAGGGCACTTGGTTGGCTTCCTGTGGCCAAGAGAATGAAGTCCCACTCCATAAACTGGGATGAAAAGCTCACTCAGGGTTGCACAGCCTGCATATTGCAGAGCTTGGATTTGAACCTGCTTCCTTCCAGCTCCTTAGTCTGGCTTTGTTTTGCTCTACTCTGATGCCTCTTACACAAAGGCCACCACGACTTTCCCAGGTCATGAAATCACTTTTTTTGTTTTTTTGAGAGAGAGAGAGAGAGAATTTTTGCTATAGGGCATGTGCCCTCGCCAGGGAGACAGAGACAGAGACAGAGAGACATAAAGCAAGAAATCACCCCCCAGAGGGGATGGGCACATCGTAATCCCTTCTCCAGTCTCCTCTTGGGGTTTTGGGCATGAACACACTTGCGTCCGGTGAAGTTTCAAGCTGCCAGGTCCAGGACTCGAACTGCAGTGGACCATGTGGGAGTCCAGCAACCACTATACCACCTGCTGGCCCCATGAAATCACTTCTGATGCATCCCTCAGCTTTCTTATCTGAAGTCTTATTTTTTAAGAATTATTTTATTTAACTTTTTATTTATTTTTAATTTGACCAGATTGAGACAGAGTGAAAGAGAGAGAGAGAGGGAAAGTGAGAAAGCAAAGCCGCCAGATCCAGGACTCAAACTGCAAGCAGCCATTTCGGAGTCCAGTGCCCTTAACTACCATGTCACCTGCCGGCCCCGTCTGAAGTCTCAGTAAGGCTTAGGCTGCCCCTCCTCTGGAGACCAAGGGCATCAAAACCCCCACCAGCAACTGGGGGAGGAGTTGAGTGTTGAGCAAGTGCCGGTTCTGGTCACAATGCTGGAGATGCCCCACCCCACCGCCATTTCTATTTTCCATTCTGGGGGTAGGGGGTGGGGAGGACTCTGTCAGGACACAGATCTGAGTTCAGACTGGATCATGGAATGAACTGAGTGGTTAAGTTCAGAGGGTGAGGACTGATGGGCTGAGAGAAGGTCGTGAGACAAAGGGTCCTGTAAGGTCACCTCCCTCTGCCACCCTCAGGATCCTGCAGGCCAGCCTGTGTGGAGCTGCATGACAAGGTCAAATGCTCACCTTCATCTGCTTCTTCCTTCTCTGCTTCCTCTCCCAGGCCCAACCCAACAAGGTCTCCAAACGGGGTATCAGGGTTGAAGATGGCTTGCAACACTGCCTGATCGTTGGGAGTCCCCATAGTGCTCAGCTCCAGAACCCCAAAGGGCGACTCGGCATGAGAGGAGAGGGAGGAAGAGGGGTGGGGGGCCAGCCTCAGACAGGCAGCTGTTTAAGAGGAGGCGGTTTTGTTTGAGGACCAGCCCCCCCTGAGGAGTGTCTTCCGTCCTTGGCTGTAGGGCCTGGGGCAAGGGAACCTGGCCTGGTAGAATATTGACAGTTATTTCTCAACCCCTTCTCCCTCCTCCCAGGAGGACCACAGAATAAATACAGCCACTTTCAGCCTTAAGGTGGAGTGCAGCAGCGGGGGTTCTCTGTAGCTTGTCCCTGAAATGTTTTCATTTTAGCGTGTTCCCAGGTTAGGCGAAAATCGTTAGGACCACTGTCTGATCTTCCCGGGCTGGAAGAGGGTGCCGCCTGATGGTGAAGGATCGGTTCCTTCGTCCTCTTGACCCATCCTGGTGTCCAGAATCAATTAGGTCCTGAACATCCATCACTGACGAGTAAAGGAAGATACTTTTTGTTTAATTGACTACAGAGCTCATGTGCTCCCCAGACGGAGACAGAGGAGGTGGAATGAGAAAGCACCCCCAGAGGAACAGCCATACTTCCATCCCTTCTCCCTTCTCCTCTCGGGAGCTTGGGGGCCCAGCACCTTTTAGGCCGCAGGGTCCGGGACTAGAACCGTGGTCAACTACATGGGAGTCCAGCGACATAACCATTACGCCATCAGCTGGCCCCAGAAGTTACTGTGAAGAGCTGATGTGGCCCAGCTGTTGGCACAGAGGTGACGCCATCCTTTGCAATGCTAGAGCCATGTGGAAAGTTTGTGGGTTTGTGTCCCAAGGCCTCCCTGTCCATCTCGTGGTTCAGGTGGTCTGAGGGGAGTGCTGCCGGTCTCCCTGTCTCTCTCTCAGGGGATAGAGAGAGAGAGAGAGAGAGAGAGAGAGAGAGCACCAGTGTGTAGTGGGACCTAGGAATAAGCTGTAGGAAACGATCTAATGATTCCATCTTAAAAAAAAAAAAGGACTGGGATGGCATCTCAGGGCCAGGTCACAGGCCACACTCCGCCCCCATTTCTCTGCCCCAGCCCAGGCCAAAAGGAAGTTCAACCATGTGCAGCAATAAACTTGACATGTTTATTAATTAAACTATCACTTAAATAAAAAAAAGTGCATAGAAAATAAACATGTTTAAAAACTCCTTTTTTTTTTTACAACTATGTACACTTTTTACTTTTACATTCAGTCTTTCGTAGAGAGCTTTCAGCATTATTATTTTTTTGAACTATTAAAGTATTTTCCTTCATCCCTGTCACAGGGAGTTAACACTGATGGACTTTAGACATTTTCCTTTTTTTTTTTTTCTTTTTTTTCTCTAACCAGAAGCTTGGAAGAACACAAGGAGAAAAACAAAACAAAACAAAACAAAAGATCTGTTATACATGATAAAGTTGTCAAGAAATGTCTTATTTCTAGAAAAGAAGCTTGTCTGTTGAGCTCTTGAAACAATTATTCAACTACCTGTATTTACTAAAGAGACTGTTAAAAGTTCAATGAAAGAAACGGCACAAGTCTATTTTCTTGGTTGAAGGACAGAACTAGAGTACCTCAGAACAGGATACCAGGGAAGCACAGAACACAATTTCCCCTAAATGCAGGTGGTAACCCCAACATTCATAACCAAAAAGAGAGAAACGAGGAGTACAGGTACTGACTGGCAACAGTCGTGGGCAGGAAGAATCCAGGTGACACCATTTCGGCATTTCTCTCTGGCCCCAGGGACTGTTTCACCGTCCCTTTCCGGGCTCGCTTTCCCGTTTGGGGACTCAGAGGAACGCTGGCCTGACATTTTCCTGCCGCGACGACTAGCAACTGTAACACAATCCTTATCTATAGTGTTAAGAGAATGAAAGCCAAGGACTGAACTAGGCTTTGTTACATGGTGCATTACTATATTAGTTCCTATATATATCATATTTATATTTATTTGAAAACCAAACAAACGAAAAGGTTGCAAGTTTTCAGAGTGTGAGACTTGACTGGTATTCATGATTCAGCACAAAACCATCTGCTCGATAACCTTGTATTGCTTTAAAATGAAGGAAATGAAACATAAAATTACACCCAGCCCTTTGCAATGACCCGCTTTTCCTTAAAAACAAAAAGAACTCGGTCTCTATTAAAAAAAGAAAAAACAAACAAAAAAACCCAAATCAAACTTAAAAAGTTAACATCTGACAAGGTTTTGACCTTTAGTATTTTCAGATATTTGATTGAATGTCAGTCCTTTAGAAAGATACATTCATTTGAAGAGATTTTGTGTGTGTGTGTGTGTGTTGTTGTTTTTTTTTTTAATTTTTAAAAATTTTTTAATTTTTTTTTTTTTTTTTTTTTTTAAATCCATGCGCTTTGGGCCGGGGTCTGAGAGGCGGGCGAGGTGACGGGCTGGGTCCCGGCAAAGAAGTCTGGCTGAAAACTCAGAGCAGTCAGGGCTTCCCCTGCTCCGCTTCACATTGGTCTAACAGGAGGGGCTGTGCTGGAGGTGGCCGGCGGGAGCCGAGGGAGTTCCAGCCAAAGGGTCAGCGCCATGCAGCTATCTGGTCACACAGTTGTCACTGGCCACCAGGAAACGCAGCCACAACAGGTTGTAGCAGCAAAGCTGAGTGAGCCGGCTCTGGGCTTTCGCTGAGAACTGACCAGGTCTGCAGCTGTTACTCCTCAGGGCTCTGGGGTGCCCCTTGGGAGGCTCTTGGGAATGACCCACCACAAGTTCTCCACCTGCACTTTTGTGCGGAGAGTCCCTAGTCACTTCTGAAACAAACTCAGACGTGTTTTTAGAGATAGCTACGCCATTTTTGCCTTCTTTCCATCTCATGGGGAAACCTTAGCTTCTCCCCCAAGTTGCTGGCAGGTATGCTGAGATTTTGGCAATGGACTCGAGGCTGAGCTCTAAGAGGAATTTCTCCTTGCTGTGGGTGACAAGTAGGGTGGAAAGGCAAGGCAACCGTCTGCAGCTAGCAGGAGAAGGAAAGGTGGGGTTCCTTCCCTGTCCTCAGAGTTTGGGGTGGGGAGAGAGTGAGGAGGGGCTCACAGTACAGCGCGGCCTAGCAGGGCAGTAACTAGGTCTATTTAGCTGAGTTCCCCCACCCCTGACTGGCCTTTGGGTCTTTCTCAAGGTGAAGTTGTGACCCATCAGTGCATTAATCATTTCAGTAACAAATGCAGCTTAAGTTTTTTTTTTTTTTCTTTAAAAAAAATAGGAATACAAGGATTTACAAAAAAACCTCACACAGTGCAATAATAAAGGAAACGAGACACCAGTGCAGCCCTAGGGCCACTGCCTCTTGTTCACGGGCAAGGGAGGAAGGGCGGGGAGGTCTGGGCAGAGTGCTTTCCCCAGTCCCCTGCTGGCACTTCTCCATGACGACGAGGAGGTCTCTGCCGTCCTGGCCACAGTGCTGGGCTCCCTGCAAGACAGTGGAAACAGTGACAATGTTCCAGCAAAGCCACCAGACAGTTCTTAAGGTCACAGAAGAAAAGGGAGCCCAGGACGGAAGGCACAGCAGAGCCACGAGTCCTGGGGCAGAGAGTGCTGGGCTGAGCCGTATTGCTTTGCTAGACTTCCAAAGGAATGGGCTTCTTGCGGCAAGAAAGGGCGCCCCGCCCTCCACTTGGACTGCACTACTCTGAAACCTTGTGGCGGAGGCAGAGGCAGATCTGCGGCATCGTGAGTGGTCAGACTGTGCTTCAGTTTCAACGGGCTGCCCCAAAAGAGGGCACGAGGGGGTCAAGGGGCTCTTGGCGGGTATGAGGACCTGGTGGGCAGAGGGACAGGAAAGGAGGCGACGACCTATGAGGCAGATGGTGATGGAAAATGTCAAGTTGCCATTCAACTTGTTGGTTGCTAACTCTGAAGGAGGAAAGACGGGGGTTCGTCGAAGACTAGTGCGTCTTCCCACTCTGCAGCTCGGCCGAGGGGGGAGAGACCACGCGGGGAAGAGGAGAGATCGGATCAAGATCCTACCACAGCCTTTTGAGGAGCTTCACTGGGGAAGGAGGGAAGTGGCCCAATGGAGTTGGGTGACCTTCCTTCACCGTTTATTGTCAAGGAGCAAACCCAGGAAGCATCTACGTGAACGGGGCACGGACGACTACACACTGAACAGCACAACGTACACCTTCCGGGGGGGAGCTGGGCAGGCAAACCAGACTTTGTGTGTACAGCTGAATATTTTCTCTAACTTCATCCTATGAAAATAAAAAATTATTAAAAACTGATCTTCTTTTAAATTAGGATAATACCGCGGTTTAAAAAATAGCCTTGTCATAAGTGCTTCTCCCTATGAAGTGCTTCTCATAGAAAAATATACAAAATATATTTACATTTATAAAACCTTAAATAGTAAACTGTAAACAGAACAGAGTAAAAGCCAATGACTTAATTTAACAGGTTCAGGACACTGTCTGGGGGGAGGAAGAGAAGAAACATTTGATGCTGTTCTGACCATGTCCCAAGGAGTCACTGGGGCAGTAGTGTCGTTCAACTGACTTGACCATGGACTGCACAGGGGGCGGAGTTCTCTTGACACGGGGTGGTCTAGTCCCCAAGTTTTGGGCCTTGAAATCTGATTAGTGTTCTGCCTTCAACTGGACACCGACCATTTTAAAATTAAGCCTTCCTATGTCTTAATGAGGGGAAAATAAAGTAACCATGTCCTGGGAACGGGGCCCGGGGGTCGTCCTGGCTGTGATATTCTGGTTGTTGCATGATTTAAATTCTATTTAAATAATCTTTTTCCTCTTCTAAAAAACCCATGCTACATAGATTTCTTTAAAACTCTCAGTGGGGCTTTGTGAAGACTTCTGAGAATCCTGCCTGGTTATGGCCGACGGCCCTGTCCACTTTCCCACATGGCATGCTCAAGGGACGGGTTCAGGGACTTGCTGTGGGCACATCCTACGCCCAGCAGTGGGTATCCTTGAGCAGGGAGTGACTCTCCCTGACCACTCAGAAAGAACAGGACAGAGTGTGATGAAGGGCAGGGGAGTGGAAGAGTGGAGTGCAGAGAAGGAATGGGAGAGGGAAGCCGCTCCTACTGTCAAGAAAGGTAACTGGCTGATAAGGCTCTGGGGATAATACTCCCACTGACAGCCCACAGGCTCAATGTTTGGTAAAAATTGGCACAACCCCAAGACAGCCTTTTGACACCAGAGATGCTAGGATCCTGCTCCCAACCAGAAGTGAACTCTAAGCGGGAGGATAGCAGGGACAGCCACCAGACCTGTTTGCTCAACAGACAGCCAGAGGCGGGCCTGGCCGGCAAACTATCAGGTATCCAACCCGCGTATTCCGGGGCCCTGCCTGACCCCTCACTTAGAGTGCTTGGGAAAGGGCCAGGGCGAGGATGGCAACTTCTCTCTGAGGAGACCCTCAGGCGGGATCTCCCAAAGGAACCAGCCCTCTAGAGGCTTGTTCCAGGCAAGTCTGCTAGGGACCCCACCTCCCACTTTTTAACGGTGAAGGAGCAGAGGGCCCCAGGAGAAAGCCGGTCGTGGATGCTTCCTTCGAGACCTCGTCTCTTTCCAGGACTGCGATCACAAGTACAACCTGAATATGGGACGGAGGGGTGTCGGCCGTCGCAGAGGCCCTCCACCGTGCCCACTCCACCCTGGAGCTCCCCGCTGCTGGAAAAGGCCTTCGACATGGCTCTGGATGGCCTGGGTCTAGGACTCCAACACTGGGGGAAGAGCAGCTTTAGTTCAGGAACTTCCGGCATTTCTTGGCGCCACAGTTGCAGGGCAGCTTGTTGCTGGCATCCTCAATGGGGAACTTATAGTCATAGGTGAGTTCCTCGCCTCGGTAGATCTTACGCATGGCAAAGATGACAATGTGCTTCTGGCCGTCGATATTGATGACCCGAGAGTAGCAGTTAGGCTCACAGGAGTGATTGATGAAGCGTGCAGCATTTCCATGCATGGTGGCATCCACTACCTCTGAGTCATCGATTCGGAACATGTAGCAACCAATGCCCTATATGTTCAGGGAAAAGGAGGAGAACTTGTTATTTCTTGTAACTCTGGATTAAGAACATTTCCAGGGACTGGCAGGTGGCATGGTGGTTAAGGCGCTGGACACTCTCACATGGCTGACCACGGTTCGAGTACCAGACCTGGTGGCTTGCTTTCTTACTCTCCACCCCCTTCTCTTTCTCTGTGTCTCTCTCTAGTCAAATTAAAAAAATACATGAATGGATAAATAAAATTAAATAAAAATTTAAAAAAAAAAAAATTTCCAGGGGCCAGCAGGTGGCATGGTGGCTAAATCTCTCGCGCTCTAAAAATAAATAAATAAATAATAAAGAGAGAGAACACTTCCGAACCTTTACCTGATACCATCTATAACTGATGATACACGTTTTTTCTAATAAAATTTCCAGACTTCCCAGTGTCTCACTTTCAAGATGCTTTGGGACTTGAACCATGCAGTTGGTCATGTGAGATCCAGCTATCATAACCACCATGCCACCAGCTGGCCCCCTGGAAATTTCTTAATGTCTCCACGGTAAGGAGTAGCCTAAACCGTGCAGCTATGTGTTATCAATCCTAAAATCTACTGGGACAATCCTGCATATCTTTGTGTACTAATTCTCAGAGTGGATTCTGAACTTTTACTGGGCCCATTACACATTCAGATGTGAAAATGTAAGAAAAAACAGTCTTAGAATTGATGCAGGGGTCATACTGGTGGTTGATGGCTCCTTTCTACAGCAAGATGGAAGAGAGCGAGCTGCCGCAGGGTCTCACCTTGCTGTCGTAGTACTTCTCTCGCTTGTCAGTCTGAATGGAACGGATGACATTGCCGGCATACTCAATCACCATCTCGCCCGCGTCGATGTTTCTCTTACAGAAAAGACCTCGGCCATGGATGGGAGACCTAGGGCATGCAGATGGAAGACAGACCAGGTATGCATTTTGCAAGCAAGGTTAACTGCAGGTACACACGAATAAATGAATAATTTCTTTTGGTCTGTTAGTTCCCAGGAGGGGTAGCCATTTGAAGGAGAAAAAAAAAAAAAAACAAAAAACAAAAAAAAACATCTGGACCTTCTGATTGATATATATTCATTGTTCTAAAAATGGCCAAAGATGAATGCTATCTCCATTAGTACAAGCAATATTTTAATGCTTATTTTGTTAAATTCCTTGCTTCACATAAGGAGTTCGAGGATGCTGGGATATCAAGTTCAATTTACAGTATCTATACAAACTTCTCTTATTGAGGGAGGGCGATCACTTCAGCATTTAGGCCACTTTGATTTGGAAAACACCATTAGTTGTTTTAGAAGATCTTTCACTTACGATAAACCCACCTTATCCTAAGTGGAAAGTATTTTTTAAATATTTATTTATTTATTTAATTCCATTTGTTATCATTATTATTTTTCAATTTGACCAGAGAGAGAGAGAGAGAAAGGGAAAGTGAGAAAGCAAGTCACCAGGTCCAGGACTCGAACTGTGGTCGGCCATGTGGGAATCCAGCCTCTTTTATCACCACACCACCTGCTGCCTCCCCAAGTTGAGAACATGAAATCATAAACGCACTTGCTATACCTCACCTACCAAGGCACCACAGCATAGGCCAGACTACAGCAAAGGGGCTCGTTACAATCGTCTACTGCTGGGCAAAGCCATTTAACACGAGCCTGTTTTATTTTATGTACTTTTTCTTTTTTTTAAATTAACATAAGCATATTTTATAATAAAGTGTTGACTACCGCATGTCACTCATTGAACGCTGTACTCAAAGTGAAAACCAGAAGGGCTCCCTGTCATCACCCAGCCCTGCAAGGGACTGTGGCGCCGTGTGTATCTCTGGCCCGGGAAAAGATCAAGATCTCAAACGTGAAGTCGACTGCTGCTGAGTGCTTCTGCACCATCAGAAAATAAGCAAAATCGTCAGTCCAACAGGTAACTCGGGGCGTGGCTGGGACTCTCTCTGCAGTGAGCGCCATACCTGTAGACACCAACCGCCTCCTTAGACGTCTTCTTTAAATGCCGGAACCGCATGGGCATTGGCAGATCCATGCTCGTGGCCCTCCTAAGAGACAAGATGTAATACTAACAAATCTATGCAGGAACTAACGGTCTGGGTGGACTGTTGGAGCGGAAGTCTCTACAAAGTATGGTACCCGTTTTGTTCAACTGCAAGTATAACATAGGAAGACTTTTAATATATATTATAGTTTGTGACCATGACAGACTATACTATAAAGAAAATATACATGTTCTTTAATTTAATCACTAGTCAGCTACTGCTACTTCAAAACAAATTATACTTCGGTCTTAAATGTTATTCAGGAAATTCTGATCCAAGCCAAACCACATGGCCCTGAGCCCCTGTGTATAGCTCTTTTTTTTTTTTTTAAAGGTCTCTGTCATAGGGTGTGGTGTTCGCTGGAGAGAGACAAAGAAAGGGAAAGTGAGAAATCACCCTCCGGGAGGGATGGCCACACCAAATCCCTTCTTCATTCTCCTGGGATTTGGGGGACACACAGATACGCACACACACACACACACACACACACCCCACATGATTTTCAAGCTGCCAAGTGTGTAACCGCAGTCAGTCGCGCGGAGTCCAGGACCTTAACCATCATGCTTCCCACTGGCCCCAGCAAGGGCATTTCTAAGGATCCTGCCCCATCCAAGACTTACCGAGCTGACTTCAGCTGCACTTCCTCCTCTTCCTCATCATTAGGGTTGTATTCGGGAGGCTGTCGGTGTTTAGAAGCCAGGAAGTTAAACATGTCAAATGCTGACTTCCTGAAGCCAAAAGATTAGAACAGATTTAGAAAAAAGCTTTAATGAAGCAGTAAAAGATGAGAGCATTAAATTAACAGGTTATACGAGAAAACAACTGTATTATTAGATAATAAAATCAGGACTCAAAACTGCTTACAGAAAAGAATGGAACTTGCCTCAGGTGGACTTCAGCTCTGGCCGAGCCATGAGGGTTCAAGGGGGGTTCATTGGCTTCCTCTGGCTTGTGGAAACGGAATTTGTAATTCCGACAGTGCTTGGCACCAGACAGCTGCTCGAGCAGGAACACAACTGCATCGTGGAGAATCCCCAGCATCCTCAAACCGTTAACACCTGCAGGTTTCAAAGGGACTGGGTAGTGAGGAGTGCAGGCCCCAGAAACCACACAGAAAGCACTGAAGAAGTGCCATGCTGGAGAGAAACTCTGCCAGAGGCTGCTCAGGAGAATTGGTATCTAATATTAGCTAGAAATGAGCATTAGGTAGCCATTAAAACAATGCTGATACAGATCTCTGGACAGGGAAGACATCTGTGATAGGCTGCTGAGGGTAGAAAGCATGCCGTCCAACTTCGGACTTCCCTGCGTGCGTACGTACCCCGAAGTGCTAACTGCATATTTCACATCACGTTCGTAACAACCGCACAAGGCAGGAATCACTAGTTTCACCTTAAGGCGAGTAAAATTTAAGGCGAGAATTTCAATAACACGTCCACAGTCATGAAGCAGGGTGACAAGATCTGACTCTTGGACTGTGTAACTCCAAAGATAATTCCATTTTTATTACAAATGCTATGGTTTGGGTGCCTCCCCAAAGTCACGTGTTGGGACTCGGTTGTACTGAAGAGGTGTTACATGAAAACTCAGCCCCTTCATTACATCCCAGGGTGGAATCTTTGGGTGGGATAAGGCTGGCAGGGTGCGGCCCCTTGGACTGGGTTCTGGTGGGTTTAAAAGAGGGGGACGGAGACCAGAATAGGCAGAAACTTACGAACAGCTGCTCTGCCCTCCGTCACACTGCAGCCCTGGACCCCTGAACTGCCAGCTGAATAAATCTCTATTCTTAGGGATCACCTCATTTCAGAGATCTTTGTCAGCAGCACAACAGTGAATTAGTACAATAGGGCACCAAGTGCCTGCTCTGTAAGCTCACACACGTCTGAAAGAAACGTGAGCTCACCCGACACACCACTCTCTCGTGCCGTTACCAGGAACGTGAGGAGGGATACACTCAACAGTGCTGTGTTTTACTCAATCTCACGCTGTCGATGAGCATTTTAAATTTCTTTTTATGTTATGAGAACACCATTTCTATAAATGTGCTGGTGTATCTGGCAGGATGCTACATCTGGAAAGATAGCTATGTTTAAATGTGAAACACGGCTACTTCTGAGAGGGCCGACCTGTCCACATTTTAATGCTGCAGTGAGTGTTCGCTTTCCACATCACTTGTTTTTAAAGAATTATTTTATTTAACTTTATTTATTCATTTTAAAATACGACCAGAGAAGGACAGAGCGAGAGAGAGAGAGAGAGTGAGAAAGTAAGCTGCCAGGTCCAGAACTTGAACAGTGGTCAGCCATGTGGGAGTCCAGCGCCCTTAACCACCTCAGCACTTGGCAGCCCCATGCTTTCTACATCTTAAAATTCCTCTGTCTAGGGTAACTTTTTTAGGAAAGGGGAAGAGCTGTTATTAGATACCTGATTTTCATTTCCTTTAGACAATGTCAAAGGAAGATCATTTGGTTTGGACAGTGAACAGAAAATCAAGTCTCCAGAAAGCCAACATTCTTATGAGCACACCTGTGGGGCCAGTTGGAACTCAGAGGTGTAACCCATGCCCACAGTAGAAGAGCTTATGTTGCATAAGGCAATGGTAACCCCTCCCCCGCTTTTCTCCTGTGGAACACTAATTTTTCCTACAGATTTTTTCCTGGGAGTTCTAGCTTACTATGGACTCTTAGGTAGAAAGCAACACTGGAAAACACAGGAAACACTCATGTTTTCATGGAAAGTCCCCCCCCTTTTTTTAAAAAAGAGAATTATATATTTAATTCCATTTGTTGTTACTAATACTTTTTAATTTGACCTGACAGAGACAGAGAAAGAGAGAGAGAGAGAAAGGGAAAGTGAGAAAGCAAGTCACTATGTCCGGGACTCGAACCATGGTTGGTCATGTGGAATTCAGTGCTTTTAATTACCACATCACCCGCTGGCCCCTCCCTGGGAAGTTCACTTTAACGTGGGCTGAGTATTCAGCTCTGCATCACTGGATGAGATCAGGGACCATGCTGAGGACGGTAAGACAAAGACAAAGTATACGTGGCCTGTTCTCAAGGACTTTGCGGCAGAGGAAGGCAGATATGCACACAAATTCTATGATGAGAAAAATGTTCAAATTAGGTTTAGTGTAAGGGGGAAGGGGTCTCCAAAAAGTTCAAGGAAAAGGAGTACTATGAAAAAAAATTATGCATGGATTTCAAATTTTGGGTACCAAAATAAACTTGTAGCTTAACTCCATTTCCCACAAACTTTTTTTTTCTTTTTTTTTGAGAGGTTTTTGCAATAGGGTGCGTGTGCTCGCCAGACAGAGAGAGACAGAGAGACAGAAAGTGAGAAATCACCCCCCCAGAGCGGATGGCCACGCCACAATCCCTTCTCCTCCATTCTCCTCTCAAGATCTTGGGCATGCACGTACATGCGCCCGGTGTGAGTTTAAGCCACCGGGTCCAAGACTCAAACCATGGTCAACTACGTGGGAGTCCAGCAACATAGCCATCATGCTCATGCCAACTGCTTGTCCCACAAAGTTTTCTTTTTTTTTTTTTTTTGGAGAGATTTTCGCTATAGGGCACGTGTACTCGCCAGACAGACAGAGAGACATAGAGACAGAAAGCGAGAAATCACCCCCCAGGGGTAATGGTCACACCGCAATCCTTTCTCCTCCATTCTCCTCTCGGGATCTTGGGCACGCACGCACACGCGCCCGGCGTGAGTTTTAAGCCACCAGGTCCGAGACGTAAACCGCAGTCGACTACATGGGAGTCCAGCAACATAGCCATTACGCCAACTGCTGGTTCCTCCAACAAAGTTTTCTTAAAAGGCCAGTTTTTTTCTCGGGGGTTTAGGGGGTAGAGTCAATTCTGGTATAGACTAAAAAGTTACCAGAGAAAGGGTGAAGAAACAACTCCAGCCATTACCTGCAAACGAGAGCTGTTTTAGACGGGCATTGGACCGAGCCTCCTGGACCTTGTCTGTCAATGACTTCCAGGCATCTGTAAGGAAATAAAAGAAAACTGTAGGTTAGAAAAATTCACGCAAACGTCTCTGAATACCAAAGGAGTGCACACATGCTGTGCTAGAACCACTACAGTGCAAATCCATTTCTCCTGGAACAGTATTTCGTTGTTTTTCTTAAGAGTTTAAACCAGTTCACTGCCTGAGAGGTAGGAAACGGCATGGCAGCAAGGTTCTTTCAGTCAGAGGATACAGGAGCAGTAAGGGATTCAGACTTTCTGAAACAACTGCTGAATCCTCAAAGCATTTTTACCCCGTGAGGGCAGTCTGGGGCCCATACCTGGATGTTTGCTATTATTTCTATTCCCTGTACTCCTAATCAAACAGTCCTTAAATCATGATTTAACCTGCACTGTGGAGACATCATAACCTCTCAGTTCCATAAAATTAAGGAGTGAAACCAGAAACTCTTCACGGTCCCTGCCAGCTGTGGCCAGCTCTAACCCATGGCCTGTGATCTTTACTGTCTGACCCACATTTCCACGTGGATTTCTCTCCACCACTCCACACACCAGGTCTTAGGAGGGATTCAGACTCTCCCCACATTTTTCTTCTGATTACCCAGGCCTGACTCTTCAGGTCATCCTTGATGCTCCTCCCCATCTCCAGGCAGTCACCAAGGATGTCCACTGTCCTTTCCCTTCCCACGGGAAAGACCTTCATTACTGACATGTGCACCCTTGTAATACTCTCATTGTGACCGCCGGCCTGTTAGCACGTCCAGTTCAATCTACCTTACAGCTACACACCAAGCGTCCCAACATTTCCCTCCACATTTTCAAAGGCCTCATAGTGTGGCTGTGAAGGGTCTCCAATCCACATTCAAATCTCCTCTTTCACTATGTGACGTGGATTTCACGGTCATCTTCCTACCTGATATTACTTTAAAACCTCCCCGATGCAGTCTTGTCTGTCTTTCCTTATAAATTTTTAACTTCTTAGAAAGTCCTCCCCACCCCTCTCTCCCTGCCCCCAATTCTATTATCTCCTTTAACAACATGCTCTTTTCTATTCATCTTTTTTATTTTTAAGAATTATATTATTATTTTATTGAACTTTATGTATTTAAATTTGACCAGAGAGAGAGAAAGAAGGCGGTGGAGTGAGAAAGCAAGCCGCCATGTCCGGGACCGGAACTACGGTCAGCCACATGGGAGTCCAGCGCCCCCAACCACCATGCCACCTGCCTGCCCCTTTCTATTAATCTTTAAGAAAAAAAATTTTTTTTTTAATTTGCTACTAGGTACATGTGCATGTCAGAGAAAGAAAGAGAAAGAAAGAGGGAAAACACTCCCCAGAGGGGATAGATATCCTGCAATCCCTTCTCCATTCTCCTCTAGGGATTTTAGGCAGGTACATATCCACGCCCATTGTGTTTTTCAAGCTACTGGGTCTGGGACTCGAACTGTGTAGTTGGCTATGTGGGATCCCCCACTCCACCTGCTGGCCCTCTTTATGGACTTCTTGGATAATTCTAACTGTCCAGCAGTGACCTTTCTGTCCTCTGGACTCCCACAGTACTTCTAGCCTAGAGAATATTCACTAGCCCTTCGAAGGTTAATGAACACCTACGTACTTAGATACGAAGGTAAATAAAATAAAACCCTGGCCCTTACAGGAAGCTGCTGAGAGACATGAAGGTAAACCAACTTTACAAAACAAATTCTAAGCTACGGGAGAGGAACACGTAGGACTTGAAAGGAGGCAGTGCGAGTGCTTATTTGCCTCAGAAAGGAAGGGACTATCTGAGCTGGATCTCGAAGCGTGGGCTGGAGCTCACAGGCGAGGGAGGGCAAGGGGCCTTCCAAAAAGAGAGAAGAGCCCAGCTGGAGCACACGACATGGAGGAGCACGAGGCAGCGGCCAAAGACGAGGCTGGCGAGAGAAGCGGCGTTCCCGTGTGCTCCATGAAGGTGTGTGTAACTTAGAAACATAATCCGCATGGTTAACTTCTCACGTAAGTCGTGGCTTTTTCTTTCACAAGACACACATCTGAAGGACAGGGAAATGTATAATGCCTTCAATCCTCCGGAACCACGGGCATCAAACTGCCACCTACATGGACTGACTCTCCTGAAATGCAGATCTGGCCCCTGCTGGCAGTCAGGCTAGTTTCATCTACTCACCTTCAATGCTTTCTGCACAGATCTGAAAGCCATCGTCACTTGAAATCTCAAACACAAGTCCTTTCTTGGGCTTTTTCTCAGCAATGCTTTCCTTCCGCTTTTGTTCTTGCTGGAGCCAAAGCATCAGCGGAGAGCTGAAGTTACTTTCTTCTTCTTCCACTGGTTTAGGCTCTGGGAGGGAGAAAACAGATGGCCAAAGTGGCTGCAGTGACAAATGCTTACAGAATGGACTGTGTGCAGCTAGCCGCCATCACTGTCGCCAAGCCAACGACACCGCGTCGGTAACACCACTAGGGCCCAAGGCACTTGTCCAAGGGGGACTCAGACTCTAATGACATGCTGTCTCTGTGGTAAGAGTTCCATTTCTTAAAGTTTGTTCTTGGGTGTGTGTGCTCACTAGAGGGAGAAAGAGAGAAAGGAAAAAGGCAATGTCCAGGGAGGGCAAACACAAACATGTGCCTGGCATGTTTCTCAATCCACCGGGTCTGCGACTCGAATGGCATAGCTGACCATGTGGGATCCAACTACTTTAATCGTCATGCCACTAGCTGGCCAAAACAATTTTCTTTCTTTTTCTTTGGAGAGGTTTTTGCTATAGACCACGTGGGCTCGCCAGAAAGACAGAGAGAGACAGAGAGACAGAAAGTGAAAAACCACCCCCAAGGATAGATGGCCACGCCACAATCCCTTCTCTTCCATCCTCCTCTCGGGATCTTCGGCGTGCATGCACACGCGCCCGGCATGAGTCTAAGCCACCAGGTCTGGGACTCAAACCGCAGTCAACTACAGGGGAGTCCAGCGACATAGCCATTTGCCACCTGCTGGTTCCACAATTTTCTTTTTGAAAAGAAGTAAGATCTTGCTAGGTTGCCCAGGCTGGCCTCGAACTCACAGTCCTTCTGCCTTCATCTCCCAAGTGCTGATTACAGTTGCCATCCACCACACCCAGCTTCTGGTTTGACAGTCTGACAGGTTGTCAATAAGTAATTGCCCTCAACAGGGTCAAAGCCAAAAAGCACTTGTGGCTGATATGTATGAAACACACTACGTGGAGGCCCACTTCCAGGGCCTGCACAGACTGACTCCCATACACTGTACAGCAACCCGATGAGCTGGATGCCACTCCACCTCCATTCTGAAAGTGAGAAAGCTGAGGCAGAAACAAGTTAAGTAAACAGTCCAATTTCACACAGCCAGTGTGTGCTGGAGCTGGGGCTTCAACCCATTCGGCGCTCGAGTTTGCACCATCAGCCACTGCTGCACACTGCCTCGCCTCCTTCCACAGACACGTCGTCGGCCCTCTTGAGGAATGAGCAAGCCAGCAGGATGCGGTAACATCCTAATTCTTTTTTAAAATTTGCCAGAGGGCATGTGTGCTTGCCAAAGAGAGACAGAGACACAAGGAAAGGCAGAGGGAGAGACACTCCGACAGGGCTCGGTCAGGCTGCAGTCCCTTCTTTTCCATTTCTCCATCTTGCCAGGATTTGGGGCATACACACACACAGGCCCAGCATGTTTTCAAGCCACCAGGGACACACAGTCCACCATGTGAGATCCGATTCCCTTAACTACCAGGCCACAGGGCCAGCACCTTTCCAATTCTTATGCCTAACCATTTACCTGATTCTCTTTTCAGAAGTCCCACCTATGGAAGTGGAAAAAGCTTTACATGCAGAGCTCTCTAATCTTGACATGAGTAACTGTTTCTTGGCCAAATTCATTAGGACAGATGGAAAGTGCTGTGATGGATCTAAGGTTGTAACCAAAATCTGTCTAGTAGAAATGGCTCTTGGTGTGTGACAACTGAGAGGGTGACGGCGGGTTAGCTTCACTCTGTAAATCTCACTACAGTTGGACCCAGGGGAGCACAAGGTACTGAAGGTACTGCTTTTTTTTTTTTTTGGAGAGGTTTTTGCTATAGGGCACGTGCGCTCACCAGACAGACAGACAGAGACAGAAAGTGAGAAGTCACCCCCCAGAGGGGATGGCTATGCTGCAATTCCTTCTCCTCTCTTTTCCTCTCGGGATCTTGGACACGCACACACACCCGGTGTGAATTTTAAGCCACCAGGTCTGGGACTCGAACCGCGGTCGACTACATGGGAGTCCAGCAACATAGCCATTACACTAACTGACCATGTGGGATCCAACTACTTTAATCGTCATGCCACTAGCTGGCCAAAACAATTTTCTTTCTTTTTCTTTGGAGAGGTTTTTGCTATAGACCACGTGGGCTCGCCAGAAAGACAGAGAGAGACAGAGAGACAGAAAGTGAAAAACCACCCCCAAGGATAGATGGCCACGCCACAATCCCTTCTCTTCCATCCTCCTCTCGGGATCTTCGGCGTGCATGCACACGCACCCGGCATGAGTCTAAGCCACCAGGTCTGGGACTCAAACCGCAGTCAACTACAGGGGAGTCCAGCGACATAGCCATTTGCCACCTGCTGGTTCCACAATTTTCTTTTTGAAAAGAAGTAAGATCTTGCTAGGTTGCCCAGGCTGGCCTCGAACTCACAGTCCTTCTGCCTTCATCTCCCAAGTGCTGATTACAGTTGCCATCCACCACACCCAGCTTCTGGTTTGACAGTCTGACAGGTTGTCAATAAGTAATTGCCCTCAACAGGGTCAAAGCCAAAAAGCACTTGTGGCTGATATGTATGAAACACACTACGTGGAGGCCCACTTCCAGGGCCTGCACAGACTGACTCCCATACACTGTACAGCAACCCGATGAGCTGGATGCCACTCCACCTCCATTCTGAAAGTGAGAAAGCTGAGGCAGAAACAAGTTAAGTAAACAGTCCAATTTCACACAGCCAGTGTGTGCTGGAGCTGGGGCTTCAACCCATTCGGCGCTCGAGTTTGCACCATCAGCCACTGCTGCACACTGCCTCGCCTCCTTCCACAGACACGTCGTCGGCCCTCTTGAGGAATGAGCAAGCCAGCAGGATGCGGTAACATCCTAATTCTTTTTTAAAATTTGCCAGAGGGCATGTGTGCTTGCCAAAGAGAGACAGAGACACAAGGAAAGGCAGAGGGAGAGACACTCCGACAGGGCTCGGTCAGGCTGCAGTCCCTTCTTTTCCATTTCTCCATCTTGCCAGGATTTGGGGCATACACACACACAGGCCCAGCATGTTTTCAAGCCACCAGGGACACACAGTCCACCATGTGAGATCCGATTCCCTTAACTACCAGGCCACAGGGCCAGCACCTTTCCAATTCTTATGCCTAACCATTTACCTGATTCTCTTTTCAGAAGTCCCACCTATGGAAGTGGAAAAAGCTTTACATGCAGAGCTCTCTAATCTTGACATGAGTAACTGTTTCTTGGCCAAATTCATTAGGACAGATGGAAAGTGCTGTGATGGATCTAAGGTTGTAACCAAAATCTGTCTAGTAGAAATGGCTCTTGGTGTGTGACAACTGAGAGGGTGACGGCGGGTTAGCTTCACTCTGTAAATCTCACTACAGTTGGACCCAGGGGAGCACAAGGTACTGAAGGTACTGCTTTTTTTTTTTTTTGGAGAGGTTTTTGCTATAGGGCACGTGCGCTCACCAGACAGACAGACAGAGACAGAAAGTGAGAAGTCACCCCCCAGAGGGGATGGCTATGCTGCAATTCCTTCTCCTCTCTTTTCCTCTCGGGATCTTGGACACGCACACACACCCGGTGTGAATTTTAAGCCACCAGGTCTGGGACTCGAACCGCGGTCGACTACATGGGAGTCTAGCAACATAGCCATTACACTAACTGCTGGTCCCTGAAGGTGCTGCTTTGTGTCCTCCAGCAGATGACCTCTGGACAGCTGGTCAGAGCACCTGCACTGGTGTGCGTGGCAGGGGCACAATGCTCTGAGTGTCAGTCTACAACTCTGGTCCATCCCTGACTTCTTTGGAGCTTAGTTTTTTTGTTTTTATTTTCTTTTTTAATCTAGAAAATCAGAAGGTAAATAAGGTCATTTTTATAGTATTTTTCATTTTACAATTCTCTGATTCTAATTCCCATACCTGTATTTTCTTGTTCATTTGCTGGATTTTGTGCTGCCTGAATCTCTGGAAGAACAGCCGCTTGCCTAAATAAAAACGAAACCAAATGTGAGATATGACATCAGCTGACTCTTCAATTCAGACAGAAACGACCCACAGTCTGTCATACAGATACGTAAAACTACTACTAGAAAATGAACCACCGGGGGCTTTTCAAAGAACTTGCTAGACAAAGGCCATATTATGTGACACATAACATAAATTTGTCTTTCAAAAAAATTTTTGCTATAAGGCATATGCATTCACCAGAATGAGACAGAAAGAGAAGAAGAGTTTGGGAAAGTAATCAATTACCTCCCCCTCAGGAAATATGACCTTTTCCATTCTCCTCTAGGGATTCTGGCCACACCTGAACATACCCTGTGTGTTTTTTAAGCCTCTGGGTCCAGGACTCAAACTGCAATAGGCCATGTAGGAGTCTAGCAACGTAACCAGTATGTCATCTGTTGGTCCAATTTTCACTTTTTAAAATTAAGTACGTCCTGGAAACAACCCAAATGTTCACTGATAGGGGACTAGTTACATAAATTACTGTAGATCTATACAATAGCACCGACGGCGGCCTTTAAAAGCGAAGTGAGGCCAGCCCCATTGTGTAGGGATTAACTGCTGTGTGTAGGAAGCCGGTCCCACATGGCTGCCCGCAGCTCAGGTCAGCCTAGGTGGCTTGAAAACACATTGAATGATGTATGCATGCATGCCCCTAGTCCTAATGGGATGGAGAAATGGCAGATGGGGGATTGCAGTGTGACCATGACCCACTGAAGGTTTTTTGCTTCTCATCTCCGTCTGGCATGCACATGCATCCTCTGGCAATAATAATAATTTTTTTTTTGAGAGATTTTCACTGTAGGGCGCGTGCGCTTGCCAGACAGAGAGAGACATAGAGACAGAAAGCGAGAAATCACCCCCCAGGGGGGATGGTCACGCCGCAATCCCTTGTCCTCCATTCTCCTCTTGGGATCTTGGGCACGCACGCACACACGCCCGGCGTGAGTTTGAAGCCACCGGGTCCGGGACACGAACCACGATCGACTACGTGGGAGTCCAGCGACATAGCCATTACGCTAACTGCTGGTCCCAATAATAATAATTTTTTTAAAAATTAAAAAGTGAAGTGCCATCAGGCCAGCTGGTTTCATGGTGGTTGAGGTGGCTGGATCCCACATGGCCGACTATGTGGTTTGAGTTCTGGACCTGGTGGCTTGAGAAACAGGCTGAGTGTGTGTGTGTGTGTGTGTGTGTGTGTGTATCCACATGCACATGTCCCCAAAATCCCAAAAGGAGAAAAATGGAGGGGAAGGGACTGAGGCATGACTATGCCCCATGGAGGTGCAGTCTCACTTTCTCTCTCACTGTCTCTCGCTAGCAGGTACATCCTCTGGCAAAATTACAAAAATGAATAAATAAAAGTGAAGTGCACCTACATGCAGTGGCACAGAGAGATGAACACAAAACAATGGTGAAAACCAAGGTACAGAACAGTACGTAAGGTATTACTCCATGTAAAAAACCACTACACAGTCACACATAGACGCTATGCATCCGCGCACATCCATAGAAATGTCTGCATGAGTAAAATCCAGTGATTAGTGGGACTGGCAGTTGGCATAATGGCTATGCTGCGGGACTCCCACGTAATTGACTGTAGTTTGAGTCCTGGACCCGGAGGTTGAAACTCACACTGGGCGCATATGTGTGCATGTGTGCCCAAGATCCAGAGAGGAGAATGGAGGAGAAGGGATTGTGGCGTGGCCATCCCCCTTGGGGGTTATTTCTTGCTTTCTGTCTCTCTGTCTCTCTCTGTCTTTTTGGCGAGCACACGCGCAGAAACTTCTCAAAAAAAAAAAAAAATCAAATGATTAGTAATGGTACCTCTGGGAAACGGATTGGGAGGGAGTAGGATAAGAGGGAACCATTACCCACTAGATGAGCAATCCTATGCTGTTTGTATAAGCCTGTATTCTTCTCATTTAAAAACTCTGGCACCGAAAGAAAAGTCAGTCAAAATCGAGAACTCGGTTTTAAATGATGTGGACAGAGCTGAGGGCTTAGTCTGAGAACGAATCGTTAAGCTTACCCTGCCGGCTGCCCACACTCCTTTTGTGAGGTCTGCTCCACATTAGCTGTGTCCTGCTGCTCCGCCTCGCCTCCTGGAGTCCTGGAACAGAATCATTTGTATCTTTTCAAGAAAAATCATTAGTAAATATGTACCTAAGTTCATAAAAGCTACAATAATGGTTACCTTGAGGGGGTATGGCTCAGAGAGCACAAGGGCCTTCTGTGGTGCTAGAAGTGTTCTGTTGTGATCTGAATAGGGGCTGCGTGGGCCCATACGTACATTAAAAATTAAAAATTCACTTACAGTGTTGGCCCCATGGCCTGGACGTAAAGGAGGCCAGATCCCACACAGTCAAGAATCCCAGCCCCAGTGGCTTGAAAACAAGCCAAGCACACACATGTGTGTGCCCCGAATCCTGACAGGATGCAGAAATGGAGAAGGGCTTGTGGTGTGATCACGCCCCACCAGGAGTGCTTTCTCCCTCTCCCTCTGTCTTTTCGTCTCTCCCTGGCAGCTGCACGTACCCTCTGACAAAATCAGAAGAGTAACTCCCTGCACACTTCATGTCCACCATGCAGCGACGGTGAAGTCTTAGAAAAAGACTCCGTGAGGATTTACACAGGGAGCTCTGCCGTCCAGACAGGAACTGGCATCCCCTAGTACCCTAAGGCTCCGGGAGAGAGAATGAGGAGCCACCGGCAGCACTGCCTGCAGTCGGAACGGAGGGTAATCGCAGATGCGGTTCTGTCCAAGAGATGCACTGCCCCCTCATGGAACTAAATTCTGCTCTATAAATCACCATGGGGAATAAAAAACAATCAAAGTCCAAACCAACCCAGAAGCCCCTGAGTAATCAAACTTGGACAGAGACACGTCCCTCCCCAAAGACTACGAGTTTGACAGCCTCCAAGCCAGGGCGCAGAATCCCAGACACAGCAAAGTGCAAGGCTGCATCTCTCACCCTGGGACTGAGGTCAGGGATGTGCTGGCTTCTTGGTCTGGAATGTGTGCTTCCGAAGGACTGGTCCGCAAGTGGGAAACTTTGTGCTTCTTGCCATTCCCTTTGTCCAGAGGTTGAATCCGTTTGATTTTTGGTTTGGGTTTCGTGGGGCCCGGCACTGAGGGGCTGGCTGACTGCTGTCCGGAGGGTGGGGAGCCCCCAGGAGAGGCTGAGCCGGCTTGCATAGCTGAGGGTAAAGCCTTGTTCTGCTCTAGCCCCATGCTACTAGGAGCATCTACTGTCTGGGTGAAGGTGGCGACCTGGGTCCCTGGAGCAGAGTCAAGATCCCGCTGGGAAGAGAGGATCCCGGTTTTGCTGGCAAGAAGCTGGTTGACGTGCTGCAGCTGATAGTGTTCTTCGGCGTCCCCCGGCGGTGAAGTGGCTGCCATGCTCGTAGTCTGAGTGGAGGGGAGCACACAGATGCTAGATGCCGCTGTCATAGTGGCAGTAGAGGGAGTCTGTGATGTCCCCAGTTGTGGGAACATTCCTGGACTGGGCGGTAAAGCCACGGGCTGGTCCTGAATCCCCAGGTTCTGTTGGCTAGCTTTGATTAACAGATTGCTTATTGAGCCGATATCTGGGGTACTGAGCAACCTTGGGTTGGTTAAGGTGACGTGTCCGGGGACAGACGTGGTACTTGTAGGGGTGGTGGTAGTTTGCATGGACACCACATTCAGGACGGAGGAACCGGATGCCAGGCCAGACACAGGCCCGGAAGTGAGGTGACTAGTGTCCTGGCTGATTGTTGATGTGCCCGCCGCCGTGGCAGCAGTTCCTCCCACACTCTGTGGTAACAGGGGTGCCTGTTCAAAATACATGATGCCAGATTTAGATCTTTTTATGATGTTGGGGACAGTTCGGTGAGATGAAGTATTAAGTGACCCCAAATCTAACAGATTAGGATGATTTGAAAGTTGGGAGGGTGTGAAGTTAATCAGTGTCATGTTAGACACCACATCGGAAGGGGCAATGTTGGAAGGGGTACTAGAGGGTGCAAGTTTTTTATTTTTGCGGGTCTGTAGACGAGATATGGGTCTTTTCTTGAGTCCAGAGGATGCAGTGGCTACTGTGGTACTGAGGTCTGTCCTCTGGCTGGCTTCTGAAACCAAAAGCTGGGGATCTGGAGGAGGCTGAACCCCAATAAGTAGGCCTGACGAAGGACTGCTGATGTTGGGTGGGAAACTACTTTGAGTAGCTGCAGGGAAGGAATGTAAGTGCTGGTGATGAGGCATGGGGAGCAATCCTTTGCTAGCAGGAGGGAATAAAGACTGAGAAGTTGGCAAGCTTGGATTGAGTCCCGTGGTTAGGGTGAGACCACTTCCCATGGGCCCCAGTACTGAAGTATTTGTCTCCATCACACTGGGTGTAGAACTAACAGAAGAGGTCAATTGGATTTTTTGGGTCACTCCATTTGGAAGAGTTTGGAGAACATAAAGTGGCTGCATGTTCTGGTTAACAACAATGAGTTTCTCAGTGGCTGGTTTCAGGTGGGGAGGAGTGGTCTGGACAGCTGCATTGGAAATCTGAGATGGGCCAGGACTATCAGTAGAATTGGGCACATACTTCTGGTTCTGGATAGGAACGGTAGGGGAGACAGGTACCTGAAGGCCAGGGGTGCTACTGTTTCTAGTTAAATCCTGATTGTTGCCATGACCTTGCTCCACTGAGCCACAAGGTGGGCTGGAGATGTGATCTGCATCCATGTGTCCTTGGATGAAATGATCAGGAGTCATGTGGCCTTCAGGAGTTGGATCAACTCCCGGACTCAGCAGTGCTGAGTCACCTTCAGAGGAGGCTACAGATTTTTCTGTGATGGTCACTCTCTTCTCCCCCGAGTCTGAGATGACAGCTAGTCTACTGGGATTCTGACTAGGGACAGTGGGACTCCGGGTGGTCAGGACAGAGAGATCAGATGGCAGCTCTAGAGGCAACTCGAACTGCTCCTCTGCGGAGATAGAGGAAGACACGCTGCTGTCCACAGGTTCTGCTGTCGGCAGCTGCTGAGAAAACACTTCAAAAAGACCCATGTCTTTTTCACGATTACTGTCAAGACCCAAACCATCACCAAGATTCAGGAGTTCAGATGAAGAGGACTCTGGGCTCTCACCCAAAGCCTGCATGGATGGTGTATTCTTCAGCACAAAATCCATGATGTCCGAAGGCAGGATGTTCCCACAGTCATCGCTGTTGTTATTGTCTGAATCCGACTTCAGGAGCTCGGTATTATAGGTGTCGAGCAAATTTTTGTCCGAAGGAGTACTTGTGTGGACTCTGCGGCTCGAGTCCAGAGAGCTGAGCTGAGCTTCCAAGGAATCCTGTCCCTGCGTTTTAACTCGGCTTACGGAGTGGCAGTTATCCATCTTTGCCTCATTTTTGTGGCCGACGGAACTCTTAATGACATGTTCTTTTTCCCCAGCATCTTCAGGCCGATCGATCTTCAAGTTCTCTGTCCCGTTTTCTTTACCATTTCTTTTCGGAATCTGGGTGCTTTTCCTCGTCGTGGCTGTGACGCTGGTATCGCTCTCTGTTCCATCATCAATACCATCCAATTGGGAAATTTTGGGAAGATCACATTGTTCCTCCTCCCGAAATAAATTATGGGATGCTAGCCGTTCCTCTCCCCCTGAAGAAATCACGGTCCTAGTAAAATTGTAAAAGTATAAGTCATCCTCGTCTGAGGTGCTCAAGTCGTCAGCCCCGTCCACCTGTCCTTCGGCTGACCTCTTGCCTCGCTTTTTCCCGGTGGAACTGCTATAGAATGGAATGTCTTCCTCACCATAGGATCTCACTCCATAGAGTGGCGTGAGCCCAAAGAACATGTTAGAGCGTGCGCGGGCACTGCGACGGGGGTACCTCCTCTTAAAAGAGCCATCCTCCTGAGGTTTGGGGCCATCTGGAAGCATCAGGTTTCTGTCCTGCACAGGAAGATTCTGGTAGTTGTTACTTTGAGAATCCTGGGATGAGGTGTTGTTGGGGCTTGGCTGAGCCACTGGATCGTCTCCTGGGCTCTCAGAGGCTGAGATGGGTTCTGTTGGCGATGCCGCCTCTATTTGTGAAGGGGAAGCAGGACTACCTTCTTTTAGGGCATTTTTGGATTGATTCTCACTTTCCATTTTTAGAGGTGTCAGTGTCACTTTGACTGTGCGTTTCCGGGGTGCCTGTTGTTCCTTGGTAGATCCTTCTGCTTGCATGGATGCAGCTTTGGGGACTCCTGGAACAGATAGAGTTTTATCCCCAATCTTATCAGAAGAAACATTATTACACGGTCGCTGCCCCATAAACTCAGGAGACAAAACCTCATCAACAAACTCTGGCTTTAGGTTTCCTTCATCACCAGTTGTCACCTGACCAGGTTCCAAAAAAGATTTAGTGGAATGCTTTTCTTTGAAAGTCTCTTTACAAGATTTTTTCCCTTTCTGTCTCCTGTCTCTGGAGCTAGATCCCACATGTTCATTGACAATGGATGATCTGTTGCTCACTCCAGAGAGCTTCAGGGTTTTGACTTCGGAATCTTCATCTGGAGAGGGGTTTACTGAGGGGGCAGGATCCATATGTTGGTCTCGATCATTTCTCTGCCCTCTTAAATGGAGTTGTGGGAAGGAGAGAACCTCTTTAGAAGAAAACGACACTGAAGAGGGCTCAGTGAAAGTGCCCATTTTACTGACGTTCAGCTCTCCAGATGCTGTGTTATGAACCTGGGGGGTCAGCTTAGGAATCCCAGGGTAAGCCATGTTATGTGCAGATCCGTCTGAACTCTTGGGACTTAGCACTTTGGTCTTTTCTCCTTTTAAAGAGGAGCTCTTGGGGGCCATGTCTGAAGCACCGGAATGCTTCGTTTCTGAAGATGACCCATCCAAGTGGCTGGATCTGGCACCTCCAGTACCTGCTGTCCTCTGCAAATGTGAAGAGGCGGGAGTGCTCTGCCCTGAATTAGTACTTGGATTCAGCGACCCTAAGGCATGGTCGACTGCTTTGGCACTTGACTCAAGATCAGAAGCGGTCCCAGTCATGGAGACAGAGGAAACGCTATTCCTGGAGTAAGTATTCCCAGTTCTCATTGGAGACATGATCCGGAGTTTAGACCGCTGGGGCGACAAGGAAGAAGTACTGTGACGCCGGGAGCCGATGCTTCGAAGTCCAGAGGAGAGTAAAGGGTCACCCACCGTGACGATTTCATGAGTGGTCGGGGTAGGACTTCCTATACAGGAGAGAAGAAGTGATAAAAGTCTATTACAGAGAAGACAAACGTGCAAACTCGGCTAGGCATATTTGCAGGTAACTAGAAATCTATGTTTGCAATTTGCAAAAGTCACCATGATAAAGTTGCCCCCAAATTACAAATTAATCTTTGGATCAAGTAGGTCAATGGAGTCCTTTACCTGCAGAAGGCAATGGCCGACAGCCAGGGGATCTCTGTGTTGGAGAGTAACTGGGTGTTCGAATCCTAGGGACCTTTGAGATGACATGATAATAACAGGAGCCAGAAGTTTGTGAATGAGGTCGGTCTGGTGATGGAGGACTTACAATTTCAGCTGCGTTTTGATTCTCTTTAGCTGAACTTTCTGCAGTAGGAAATAAAAATTTTTAACTAAAAGAAGTATAGTGAAAATATCAAACAAACGAAGCAATAAAAATCCACCCTATTAGATAAATGTCAAACTAGAAACAAATGAAATCTCCCAAGTAAATGATTCTTAGTATTCTTTTTTAAGCTTTTGCTATAGGGCACATGCACTTGCCAGAGACAGTGGGGCGAGGGAGAGTGAGAAAGCGCTCCGCAGGGAGCATGGCTACACTGCAATCCCTCTTTCACTCTTCACTTAGGATTTCACGCCCAGCAGGATTTTCAAGCCGCTAGGTCAAAGACTCAAACTGCTCTCGACCATGTGGGATCCAATGCCTTAACCACTGCGCCACGGACTGGTCCACCCAAATAAATGACTCTTCCCCCAGTCAAGTACTTTTCAATCACAGTACTCCCAAAAATCAAACTCAATCCCATGGTGATTAAAGACCAACCTGTAAAAGACGTTGGGCTGTGGGCGATGGTCCTGTTCTCATCGTGTTCGACAGTGCTGTTGATGTCCGGCTCTACGACGGGGGGGCGGCACTCCACAATCTTGCACGTGTACACACAGCGCTTGCGAGCATCTGTGGTACTCCAGTACACCCTGGAACACCTGGTAGACAGAGGCAGGAGCGACATGTCATAGCTTTTCCTCATCCGAGGTGCCTGGGCTCCGCCGTTTACAGAGCTTTGCTGTATTCCGTGGGTTCTTAGCAGAGATTCCCCTAGTGAGGGTGTCCCAAGCTTTCTGAAGTCCTTAGTTTTTCCTAGCTTCTCAGAAAATAGCTTAAGATCTTTTTTTAAATTTTATTGTAACCAAGTACCAATGATAAAATATCCTAAAACCCAAAGAGAAAAATACCAACTACTAAAAGAAATAGTTACTGGCCTTCAGGAAGAGATGACTGCCCCATGATATGTACAAGGTGAGGCCCTGAGGCACCTCCCCATCCCAATGGTTCAAGTCCCAGACCTAGTGGGTTGCTTTCTCACTTTTTTCTCTTTCTCTGTCTCTCTCTGGTAAAATTAAAATAATAGTAATAACAATAAATAAATAAAATACTTCTTTAAAAAAATAAATGAAACTGGGCAAACCTAAGGTGTTTCCTTTGGGAGAAAAGCCCACAAGACAAGGGAAATATAACTGCTTTGAATTTGCTGAATGTTGGTGGAGACTAGTGTGTACAAAAAGCTGCCAGCTAAATGAGAGCTCTGCCACTGAAACTGGAATGCAGAATAAATTAGAGTACATACTGCGAAATGAGATTCCCAATAGGAAGAAGTAGGAGAGTCTTGAATTTATACTCCCAGCTTATTAAATGCTTGAACAATTTGCTTTATATAGGAAAGATTATAAACTGTTATTGGAGAATCTGATTATTACTGTGGGGATTTGTATCTTTGGAAGATTATAAAACGTAAAATTGATAGAATGGTATAATGGTAACATCGCTGAACTCCTACAGAGTCGTCCACAGTTAGAGTTCTGGGACCTGTCAGCTTGAAATTCCTGCCAGGCACGTGTGCGTGCATGCCCAAGATTCTGAAAGAATGGAGGAGAAGGGACTGTGGTGTGGCCACCTCCCCCCAGGGGTGTGTATGTGATTTTTTGCTTTCTGTCTCTCTGGCAAGTGCGCACACCCTATAGCAAAAATCTCTCTCAAAAAAAAAAAAAAAAAAGATGAAATTGGCATGAGGTTGTTTGACCATAAAAATGATCCAGACTTCTGTGAATTATATTTAGATCTTAAGGGACCAGCAGTTAAAGTAATGGCTATGTTGCTGGACTCCCATGTAGTCAACCACGGTTCGAGTCCTAGACCCAGTGGCTTCAACTCATCCCAGGCACGTGTGCATGCATGTCTAAGATCGCCAGAGGAGAATTGCAGCATGGCCATCCCCCCTGGGGGGTGATTTCCCGCTTTCTGTCTCTCTGTCTCTCTCTGTCTTTCTGGAGAGCTCATGCGTCCTATAGCAAAACCTCTCCAAAAAAAGAAAAAAAAATTTAGATCTTAAGAGACTGATATTGTATTTCCTATTAGGTTTTACTTGGAAATGATCCTAAAATTACGCCAACAATACTTTCCTCCTGTAACTATTTAGCTGATATAAAATGCTGCTTTAGCCCCAACCTACAAGCTGATAAACCAGAAAACTAGCAAAACAAAGTAATTAACTTTCTATTTTTGCCATAGGGTGCGTGTGCTGACTAAAGACATAGAGAGGGAAAGTTAAAAAAATCACTCCCTGGGACCAGCAGTTAGCGTAATGGCTATGTCACTGGACTCCCATGTAGCCAACTGCGGGTCGAGAGCCAGTGGCTTACACTCACACCAGGCACGTGTGCGTGTGTGCCCAAGATCCCAAGAGGAGAATGGAGGAGAAGGGATTGAGGTGTGGCCATCCCCCCTGGGGAATGGTTTCTCGATTTCTGTCTCTCTATCTCTGTCTGTCTGGCGAACGCACACACCCTATAGCAAAAACTTCTCAAGAAAAAAAAAAAAAATCACTCCCCAGGGGGGCACCACAATCCTTTCTCCTGCATTCGCTCAGGATTTGGGGGCATACATGCACATGTGCCTGGTATGATAGTCAAGCCATCAGGTCCAGGCCTTGAACTGTAGTCAGCTATGTCTGGCCATGGAACCCATCCACTACATTACCTGCTGGTCCCCAAGAAAGTAATTCACTTTTGTTTAAAGAGAGATTTTTACTGTAGGGCATGTGCACTCACTCGCTGGAAAGAAAGTGAGAAATCACCCCCCGGGGGGATGGTCACGCCACAATACCCTCTCTTCCGTTCTCCTCTCGGGATATTGGGCACACTTGCAGACACACCTGGCATGAGTTTTAAGCCGCCAGGTCCGGGATTGAACCATGGTTGACTACGTGGGAGTCCAGCGATGTAACTGTTATGGCATCTGCTGGTGCCAGTAATTAACTTTTAGTAGCAATTAACAGCAGCTAACAAGTATAGCTTTACACTCAAAGACCCACACGTTGCTTCAGGGTGCTCAGGCTGTGGGGGTTGCTGTCTCGGCTTTACAGTGCTACTTACTGGTATCCAATAGGAAAGAGCTTATCTTCACAGTCAGAGAGATCGTTCAGGATTCCCAAGCAGTCAATCGTCATAGAGCCTGACCAAGGGAAAGCACTGATTAGACGTGATAAAGGAAAGGGTGACTTTGTAACGGAGGCCTAGAAACTGCCCTGCTGGTATTACAACCTTCCCTAATAACCGAGACCAGGTCATACCAATCATCATGTGGATGTTTTCTGGTTCTAAGCCGTTGAGAAACTTCCTCCTCAAGCTGATTCCTTCAAAGTCCACAAACACTCTTCTAAAAACTTCAAATCCATTCTCAGGAACCACCTTAAATAAAATCAGGGGTAGTTGTTAATAGGCTGAGACTTTACAGATTATCCGCATGATCCTGACTCTGGGGGGGGCGGGGGAAGCCTGGGTACATCTCAAAGTCATCCTTCTATTTTATTTCACTTCTGTATTTCTTACAAGAAACACTCTTGGGGCCAGCAGGTGGCATGGTGTTTAAGGGCACTGGAATCCCACATGACCAACCCCAGTTTGAGTCCTGGACCTGGTGGCTTCCTTTTTCATTTTCCCTTTTTCTCTCTTTGTCCCTCTCCAATGAAATTAAAATAAATAAATAAACAAAGTTAAATAAAATAATTCCTAAACAACAACAAAAGAAATACTCTCAAAACACCTAGTAAGAAGGCAAAACAGAGTTTACCATCTTGCTAATTTTCAGTCTTTTCTCCTGCATTCCTAGAGCATTCTAAAAGCAATCAGAGCAGCCCTGAAAAGATCGCAGGACACACCAATGCATATTGCTGAGGGGAAGAAGCCCATCTGAGAAGGCCATGCATGTATGATCCCAACTCTGGAAATGGCAAGACTGAGGAGACAGTAGCCAGAGCAGCGGGTGTCCAGGGTTAGGGAGGAAGCAAGGGTAAACAGGCAGGGGACGTGAACATTCAGGGCTGTGAAAACACTCCGTATGATGCTAGGATGGCTGGTACACGTCATTGTACGTGTGTCCAAATTAGAATACAGAACACCAAGAGTGACCCTTAACGAAAACCATGGAAGCCGGATGATGACGCTGTCAGCAAGGGCTCACCACAATATGACGCCACAGTGGTGGGGGTGCTGATAAAGCGGAGGCTTTGCACGTATGGAGACAGGGGCTGACAGAACATCTCTGTGCCCTTCATCTGATTTTGCTGTGAACCAATTTTGTTCTGAAATAAATGTAGAAAAGCCATAGGCCTCTCACCTCGCCTTTGATCAGATCCCGATGTCGTTGGCAGTACACTTTTTTATCGTCCAGAAAGACGCAGTTCTTGGCTCGGGAACACATGAAGTGGTAGTTGCTGGTGCAGGAGGTGAGGCAGCAGCCCACTGTGGCTCCCGGCTTCTGGCAGAATTCACATCTCTACAGATGCAGAAAGAACAGAACCCAACTCAAAATTTCAGACGTTTGAAGATATTTTTTATCACTTTCTCTATAGGATCACTGTACTCTAGGTTTCCTACAAGTCGATTTACATTCTTCTAGAGAGATTTTCGCTACAGGGCACGTGTGCTTGCCAGAGAGAGAGAGAGAGAGAGAGACAGAAAGAGAGAAATCACTCCTTCCGGGGGGAGGGCCATGCTATAATCTCTTCTCCTCTCGGGCACACACGCACACATACCTAGCGTGTATTTTAAGCCACTGGGCCTGGGACCCGAACCACGGTTGACTATGTGGGAGTCCAGTGACATAACCACTATGCAGTCGGCTAGTCCCCCTACAACCCATTTATTTACTGGTAATATGCTGAATTAGAAAAATGTATGAGCCACAACGCCTTCTCAAATCAAATACCCTCTCTCCCATTATCCTCAAGACTCTGTCACTATTAAATTTAAATATTATAATTTTATTTAGAAGTTGGACCAAAACAGTTTCTTTCTAGGACGCATGACTGAGAAAAGGTGAAATTTGGATCAATGCTAAAATCATTATCTTGTGAGAAAGTTATTATATCCAAAAGCAGCTTAGTTCTAGAAAGATTTTACTGGTCAAAAACGTAACAGTTCGTGGGGACCAGCAGTTAGCGTAATGGCTATGTTGCTGGACTCCCACGTAGTCGACCGCGGTTCGAGTCCCGGACCCGGTGGCTTAAACTCACGCCGGGCGCGTGTGCGTGCGTGCCCAAGATCCCGAGAGGAGAATGGAGAAGGGATTGCGGCGTGGCCATCCCCCCTGGGGGGTGATTTCTCGCTTTCTGTCCCTCTGTCTCTGTCTGTCTGTCTGGCGAGCGCACGCGCCCTATAGCAAAAACCTCTCCAAAAAAAAAAAAAAAAAGTAACAGTTCGTTACTTATTATGCTTAACAGATAGTCTTTCTTTTTTTTAAAGAATTACTTTATTTGACTTTGTTCATTATTATTATTATTACTTTAAAGTTTTTTGACCAGGGCCGGGGAGAGTAAGAAAGCAAGCTACCCAGTCGGAGACTCAAACAGCAGTCCGCCATGTGGGAGTCTAGCGCCTTTAACCACCTCACCACCTGCTGGCCCCAACAGGTAACAATATTAATATATGATTGGAAGACCCCTTCAACAGCCCCTTTCTGTTGCCTCTTAATTTCTTACTGTCATAACCTGTGCCCGTCTCCAGGGGAGACTTACTCTCTGTGCTCTCCATGTAATTCACTTCTGCTTCTTTCTATGTGCTATTTTTATTTTTTTGGTAATCCTCCCTTCTTTAAAAATACAGCTTTTCAGATTTGATTTTCTGGGACCAACAGGTGGTGTAGTGGTAAAGGCACTGGGCATTCCCACATGGCTGACCCTAACTTGGGTCCCAGACCTTGTGGCTTGGTTTCTTACTTTCCCCCTCTCTCTGTGTGTCTCTCTCTGGCCAAATGAAAATGAATGAATGAATAAAATTAAATAATTCTTTTTTAAAATTTTTATTTTCCATGCCTTTTCTTACTGCTGTCAGCTGCTGTTGATCATCTGCCATGTCTTTTCTTTATGGGGGCATATCCTGGGAACCTCAGAATACAGATTCAATGGGGATGGACGTCTGGAATCATTTAGTCTAAATTTCTTAATAAATTAACACTTTCTCGGGACCAGCAGATGGCATGATGGTTATGTCGCTGGACTCCCACACAGTCGACAGTAGTTCAAGTTCTGGACCTGATGGCTTAAAATTCC